TATTAGTTTTTAAAAATCTAAATACTTTCTATAATTTTTAAATCTAAAGAATATTTTAAATACTTCTTACTAGAAACCTAGATTCTTGCCAAATTTTTAAATCAATTACGTGCATATGTTACTTCTATTAGATAGTTAACAGAACTAACTCTTAAAGAAGACAAAACAGAACTCTCTCAAATATCTAATAAAAGTAATGCATGTACTTGATTGATTAAAAAATTTGGCAGCCTGAGTATGAGTTTTGTGTATTTGGAAATTTGTGACTACAGAGTACTCTGTGATCTGTTAGGCGCAGTAAAACTTCCAGACTTAAGACATTTTTTTCTCTTCTCTCTGTGGGGCAGAAAAACGAAGCACGTTGTGTGAAACACGCCTTACAATTTTATTAGATCCAGCTGTGCGTGTTTCAGTGCCGATTTACACTCTGCTGGGTTCCTTTCTTGGGTGATTGCAGAGTCATTGGCACTCGATGTTACAAACGCCTGCATGTTCACGTTTTAATTGCCTCTTGAAAGCATGTGCGCAGTCTTTGAACAGGTTTCCTAGATTAACTGGAGCAGTAAACTCACTAGAGAGGGAAGCGTCCTCTGTGTTCTGTGTCTGATTAGAGGAACTGGAAGTTCTGTAGCGCGGTCCTATTCTACATGCAGCCGTTTCTCATTTCAGATCATTCTTTAAGTTTCTAATTACTAAGTTAAATTTCTAATTTAATTTTCTAATTGCTATGCTGTATTTTCGTCTTGACATCCTCTTAGGAGGTGGAAATCATCCACTGCTGGTTCCCTATGACACACTGACAGCCAAAGAGAAAGCCAAGGACAGGGAGAAAGCACAGGACATCCTCAAGTTCCTGCAGATCAGCGGGTATGCTGTGTCCAGGTAAGGCACACCTGCTCCAGGTACACGTTCTCTTATGAGCCTGAATATTTAAACATCCTGTCATATGTAATGCTGCTAGTGCACCCACTCGTATCTGTTTAAGTCTTAGAGCTACTGTTTAGTGTGTTCAGAATCCACATGACTGAGTTCCTTACACTCCTTATGCTAAGCCGCCGTCCATCACTCTGGAAACTCCCTAGGCAAAAATGACTCACTGCTTTTCTAAACACACATCTTATTGCATAGTGAGTTACTTAGTACAGTTTTATGTCAGATGCAAAGTGTTCCTTAAAAATTAAATCTCATTTTTGTTTTTAGCAACAAGAATATTAGCTAGCCTTCCAAATCTATCTATATTTATATTGCTGTATATAAAAGGTTAAATACACCTCCGTATATAGATATTTAACAAGACTTCCCATAGTCTTTGTAGACGTTGGTTTCCATTTTTCATTTTTGCTGTTCTAGAGGCTTCAAGGACCTGGAATTGGACACACCTTCTATTGAGAAACGATTTGCCTATAGTTTCCTTCAGCAACTGATTCGCTATGTGGATGAAGCCCATCAGTATATCCTGGAGTTCGGTAGGTACCGTAGTCCTATGGCTGACAGCCCAGTTTTGTTATTCTTGACACGTACAGCCTCAGGGTGTAGAACAGCATAGACCCGGGGCTGCTTATGGTGTGTCCCCACACGGTGTGCACCCTCTCTGTCGTCCCAGTGCTGACTTCAGTATGGAAGACAAGAGGCAGACTCATTTTTAAGGATGGGTAGATTTTTAGAACTCTAAAAGAAAGTCTAACATAACTTTTTTCTCCTTAAAATGTTTATTGGCATTGATTTTTTTCATTTTGAAAGAGACATTGGATGGACATCAACATTTAAGGTACAGTTAAATCTTTCCTTATGAAATTAATTGCTCTGCTCTTAAAAACAAAACAAACAGACAAAAAACCCTAAAGTCAAACTCTGTGGTTTCCCAAATTTCTAGGCACTGTAAAGGCCTTGAGGTTAGTCTGTGTAGACACTCCAGTATACACATTTGTACTGGAGTTTTGTACTGGAGTGTCTGCAGTGCGGAATACTTTATTGTCCTCTTAGGGTAAAAGGGAAGACCTCATCCCCAGCAGGCTCAGTGCCAATTAAGTACAAAAAGGACTCTATTTCAAGCCTTAGATTCAGAACAGATCATCAAAGCAGCCAGCCTCCTCTCACTTCTCTTACTTTGTAATTGTCCTCGGCATCACTGAATTAAAATTCAAGTTGTTAATTCCTCACCTTCCTGTCAAGTCACCTTGCAGCCACTGGCTGGTGTTCAGATGTAAAGTTTGATCCTTTTTGAAAACCAGTGTGCTCCGCAGGTGGTGAGCTTCTTCCTTTCTTTTCCACTTGGAGGTTCTGTTTCTGTTTTTTTTTAACTTTTTAACCTTCATTCTTTCTGTTTTCAGCCCCTTCCCTCAGGGCCCATAGTCCCAGGTCCATTAGCAACGCATCAGCAGCAACGCCTCCCCCCCCAGCCAAGGGCTCTTTGTGCTGCACTTTTCTTCGGATTTATACTTAGTTTTCAGCGCAGCATCAGATTAAAGTTTATGGAAATTCAAGCTTTTGTATTTTCCTGTTCTTGGCCCCTCGTATCCCAAATATGATTAACGATTTTCTGCTGGAGTGTCGTGCTCTTAAACCTCCCTCTTTCAACCTGCCCCTTTATCTACAGTCCAAATGCTGTGTTTTCACTCTCTTCTTAACTGTCTTTTCCACAAAGGTCAATGATACAAACTAACTTATCATGTGCAGTCTCTTTGTAACTCATCCCACAATATTTTTTTAAAAATACGGTAGTCATCCTGACTTGTAGCCAAATTAGTCCGAATGGAATTTGAACAAAAAAGAAGAATGAGGCCCTGGTGAGTTTTTGAAGCTTTTATGTACAAAGTTAAATATTGAAATTTCGAATCCCCATTGTAAGTATCTGAATGCATAGCAGCTCTGGGGTTCAGCCTTCTTTTTGGCAAGAGAGAGAAGAGGGAAAAAGTGATCATTTGGAGAAGGGAACAAGGCAAAGAAAAACATTTTTCTTTAACCTTTGTTTGGATGGCAGAGACACAACTTTGAAGGGGAAAATGTGGTTAGGCCTTAATCACCCTGTATTTAAGTTTCTGAATAAACCTCCGGGGACAGTGTCGGTGCACAGGGAGTGGCGAGAAGCTCACTACAGGCAGCTTTCACCCGCTTCACACGTTGGCTTTCTACAGGGTAGAGAAGATCTTACAAACAAATTCTGGGGAGAAAGGAAGGCTAGATTAATATAGAGCCCAACAAAATTAGCTGTTTTTTCAAACAGCTGCTGACGTTCCCTGTGTGTTTTTCAGATGGTTTTGACGGGCAGTTAAATGTGTACAAGACATCAACTAGAGAAGCAAGTACAGCTGAGGCTGTTTAACTGTCATTTACTTTAGTTTTCATTTTTCACTGTTAACTAAAAAATAAAACCTCTACAACACCTCCTTCTTTCATCTTTTACTTTATCGCCTTTACAGCTCATCTTTAGTGTATTCATTTTTAGACACAGGCTAATGGTGACAGTGAAGGTAGGCATACGCCTCTTTCTAATTTTTGTGTTTTA